ATTTAATATCTATTCGAGTACATCAATTAACTATTTGTTTAGACATAGGTATCATAAATAGGATCGAAAAAAATATGGTTCCATTTCGATAGGAAAAAAATAGCCTTTCTACCCTAATTCAAATAGGAAAAACCTTGAGAAATAATAATAGTATAAATAGGGAATAAATACTTTGACAAATAGGAATTAAATAGCACAATAAAATAGGAAATAAATTGCAATCAAATAATGTTTGATTCTACAAAGAATGTTTATAGCTGAAAGTTTGTGTTCTGCGCCGCGCGTAGTCTGTAATACTAGAGAGGTTAAGATACCCCGGTTCCGATTTACGGGTACGAGTATCGTCATTTTGTTTAGCAATTTTTGCAGATGTCAGGATTTTTACCCGTAATTTCTACCCGTTTCCCCGCGGTAAGCCAAGGTCTACACGTAAAAGACAAACGGGTACGGCTGTTTTCTGTTTACTATATGTGGGCCGTTTAAATAGTAAAAATTTTCAACATCTTACTCAAATAAATAATGCACATATACTCGTCAAAGTTTTTAACAATTTATGGCGAACCTCTACAGCGAAAGTTACCATTCTCTGATCGGTTTTCACACGCCGGAATATCTTGGATTTCTTGAATTACAAGCCGTTCCCCGAATTACGGGTACGTGTATATCACCCGTACCCGAAAACCGGAACCGGGGTATCTTAACCTCTCTACTGTCGTTTCCATACCGCTGTAGACAGATATGACCAATGCATGTGATATATTGCTGTATTGATTGCATTACTTCCTGGCTCTCCGCTGCCGTCACGATCAATATGTCTTGATATATTTATTAATATAAACAACAAACGAAAACTTACTAATATTATAATAAGTTCTTCTCATACTCTCATAGCCAATAGAAAACGTCTGTCATACGAATACGACTCTGCCGTTCAGTTTAATAATGAGGCTATTCGTTTGTTCTCGTGCTACGGTGCAGGTTAACTATATATTGCATTTCGTGCAAATCGTTTCAATAGTTCGTGCATCACCGCAATCGTATGTGTTCTTAAATGCAGTATTGTAGTACTCTCGCATTACAGAATTGAATGTATTGAAGTTCTCCATACTCAAGTCAAGTATGTCCGTCAATTTGTTCCATGTTCTGATAGTTCTTATCCAGAATGATCTTTGGTAGGTTGTTGTTTGCTTCGCATGTATATTGAAGAATAGGTCTAACGCACGCGCGATAGACTTTGACTATGATGGAGTCCGGAAGGGCGTTTCTTTTTAACAGCCGTAGGGCGTATAAACGCTTGGAAACCTTCTTATAGACGACATTTACGTGCAAGTTCCATTTCAAGTCATTCGAGATGGTAACGCCTAGAAGCTTGGCATGCGTAACAATGTTGTCTTTTGATTGTTGATCACAATTGGTGGATAAGAGGAGAACTGGAGAACATAAATCCTTTAATTTTGTGAAACAACATGGTTGTGACACAAGAGAGGGGCCATCCAGGTTAGGCAGGCTACACTGTGATTGCTAGTGCCAAGGACGCCGGAACTGAGGGGCAGGAGGGGTAGCCGCCCCCGTTGCCCTTTACCAGGAGGGGCAAGGGGGGCAAAGGTGCCTCTCAATTTAAAGGATTGCCTTGGCAAAATAGCGAATTGTCCGAAATGTTAGTGCAATTATTTAACGAATTTTCTTCAGAAAATGCAAGAAATGCAGTCATCGAGCTTCAAGAATAGCACAATCGCCTGGCGGAGAACCCCCTCACATCCTTATCATCTAATAAATAGAAGACATGATTAGGCGATGTTCAACTCCCGATGTTTTGTAAACATCTCTTAGTATATACCTTTAACGAAAATCTTCCTCCCCCTTGCCTTCACATCGTTCCGGCGTCCCTGGCTAGTGCTGCTGTGCATAGTTTTACCGCCACAGTATTTTCATGTTTCCAAAACAGTATATCGAACCTTGTGCTATAATGCAATAATGCAATGCTCGATACGTAATAATCTATCGAATCTATGATTATCTTTAATCGTTCGGCTTCGAAATAGCGACTGCATGCAAGGGCGCGCCGATTAACGAACCAAGACCAGTGAGTTGCCTTCAAACAATATCAGCTGAATTATGATCCCTTCAACTACGTTTCTTTTCACATTTTGCTTTTAATTGGTTGCTTATTGATTCAACGTTTCACACTGCCCCTCGATAAACCAAGAGGTCAAGGAATGAATAAGTCCAATAGAATATCGGAGATGATGGAAAATTATCTTTAACCTGTCACATTCCTCGACAAAGTGTTTCCGAGATCAGAGATCACTCATAATAATAACAGCCAGCTAGATTATACTAGGTATTGCTTTAAGCTTAACGTATAGTTTCGTTTCCAGATGACGTTTTCTCGGTATGGAAGAGATAAGAAACGATGCACTTCGCATTCCATTGTGAACTCTACGGATGGATGGCAGTTGTTGAGATCATTCAGAAAATCCTCTGCCGATGATAACCTGCTTTAGCTGGTTATCGTGTCATCAACAAAACGATGGTAAATTGATATCATGCCGTTGTTAGATATCATGAAGGTGTTTGGCATTAAAGGAATAAGTGGCGGCCCCATCGCTACACCGTTTAAGGATAAAAAGTCGAGCGGCTGATATTGTTCGAAACTAACTCACTGATCTTGGTTCATTAGTCGAAAGCCTAAAGATTGAAGATGAAGTCAAATCCCGGAGATAAAGTCACCGCTTGTGAATCAACAAAGCGTTGTTTACAAATTTAAATGTGGTGTGTATGAAGCACATTATGTTGGCATCGACACGTGCATTTGCTCAACAATGAACACAGGGGGTCGGTAATTGGTAAGCACATGGGCGAATATCATTGCGAAGATGTTGTCCTGTATTAAAAGCTGCTTTTCAGTCTTTTGAAAGCTCCAGGGGAGATACGAAATGCTGTAAAAAGGAACTTTCCACATTTTTTTACACACAAACGGACTCACCTCGTTCAAAACTATTTTCCTGACATTTAACTTCCTGACAAATATCCAAATTGGGGGGGGGGGGGAGCATGTGCTCCTTGCTGCCCCACCTCGTACGCCTATGTTGTTTTCCTAAAATTTACTACGTTTTTCTCTGTAACTACCCACTAATATCTCTGAAGGTTTTTCATTGAAAAAGTTGTATTATATTGCCTTAATTTTGACCAGACAAAATTCTAGCTAATGGCGACCATGTTGTTTGGAAGGCAAGCGATTACCACAATACCGTGAGCCTTTGCGAACTACAAATAATTAGGAATAGTCTATTGTCGTTCAATCGTATAGTACGTGTTGATGAGACATGAAGCATTAAAATTGATGTAAATGTCAAAGTATTCAGCTTTTCAGTAACCAGTTTTTTGTATATTCAATTATTTTATTCGATGTTTTTTCAACTGCAACTTATCCCGACGCTCATTTGAATACGCAGCGGAAACTCCGAAATGGCGACTTAATGCGCATGAGGGATTTAAATAAGTGTGACAGTATCTGTCGTTATAAACAACCACTCTAAAACTAGAACATAGGGTTGCCTATTAGATTACTGTGTTCACAAAAAGGCAAACGTTCATTTAAATCACGCATAGGAGGTCTTGCAATGGCAAATCTTTCTTATAATTGCAATGGCAAATCATTATCAGACATTGAAGATCTGGATGCCGTTCACAAATGACTAATAGCGACTAAAATAGCATGAAATGTCAAGAAAACAGAATACATGATTACAAGGTCAAGGCAAAGGCTAAACCAAATGTTAAAAAAAAAATAAAAAAAATCCTATGCGTAATTGTAGATGAACATCTTGATTGGCACGAGCACATTGATACACAATGTAAAAAAAAATCCAAAAAATATCGCCCTGTTAAGAAGAGCCAATAATTATACATGTCAGAAAAGCCGTTAAGATGATGTATAATTCGTTAGTCGTACCACATTTAGATATACAGCTTAACAGGGTGGCATCGTGGAAATACTAGACATATTGTTTTGACAAAGGAAGTGAAGAGATTTTTGGGAAACTATATTGAGAAAACAAAAAAATGAAAAAAATGTGCTAATGCATGCTCATGCTATGCAGGGTGTCTAAAAAAAACGCTATGAAAATTCAACAGACTATCGTGCATCATAAACGTATCTAAACAGTTCAATTTTTACATAGCACGAAAGAAAAGTTATTTAGCTTTTCAATGATACTATTTTTAAATCATAACGATGAGAAATGGCCACATACTCGTCAAATATAAATTGCCGTTCGAAATCACATTCTTCCACCTATGGGAATTGCCTGGAAAACGAAACGTAAACAATTCCCAAGGGGGAATTAAAATTGAATGTTAAATAATCTAAAATGAGCTCAACTCGTCAATCTTCGTCTTAGTGAGACCATAAGAACGTCCATTATTACATTAAACATGGTTCAATTAACCCCTGAACGGAGAACATTCGTAATCAAAACGTTTTGCGTAAACAAGTACCTTGCAGCAGACTCGCGGTGCTTTTGGATTGATTAACTTTGCATAATTAATGTATTTTTAATTCCTAACGGTGGAAGAATGTGATTTCGACCAAAAATTTTTATTTGACGAGTATGTGGCCATTTCTCATCGTTGCGGTTTAAGAATATACCATAGAAAACCTAAATAACAGCTCGTTCGTCCTATGTAAAAATTGAATTGTTTAGTTAAGTTTGTGATGCACAACAGCCTGTTGAATTTTCATAGCGTTTTTTTGGACACCCTGTGTAATAGTTACTAATTTGCCAACTTCAATTGAGCTCCTTTAGCTCAAAACCACCTTGAAAATTCGCTCTACTCTTTAAATGTCTTGTACATACTTTTTCCGAAAGTTGGCTTCATATATTGAGCATACTGCATTGAATGCAAAACAAGATTATCTCAATAAGGGCAACTAGTTTCTCGTTTAAGCAAGAAAGAAGAAATAAATGTATGCAAGGTGTTACTCTCCAGTAATAATGTTAACCATTATGTTCCTGAAACGCAATATTTTCCATAGGTCCAACTTTATTATCTTTGTGTTTCTGACGTTCACCTTCTAAGACCTGTTCACCGCGGTTATCGCCAAACAGTCCACCGTTGACCTCTGGATGTGGATCATCAATATTGTTGCTAACTAAAGGATATTTAAAAAATAAAGGTTTTTCGTAATTCGTCTCATATTCTTTTCAGTCCAGGCATGTTCTGCTCATTAATGAAATTCTTGAAAAATAAGAAGTTTACATGTTTTCGTTCGCTACTCTGGTTTATCCCCGAGCCAAGGGCGCGAAGCGCCGTTCCGGGCGTAAGCCCGGGGCGAGGGTACTAATCCTCCCCGGCTATTTACACCCGGGAAAACAAAAGCAATAGCGAAGTCTAAAGTTAATCAATGATCGCGGGCGTGACCAACGATCTTGAGTGGGTGGTCATCTTCACTGATCTCAAAAATATGGCTGATTGCTTGTAGGAGTGGGATAAGCAAGATTTCAATTTTAAAAGACATATATTTGGAAAATCGTTTCATATGCAACAAACATGAAGCAATTTTGTTCGAAGAAATAGAAGAATTGATTTACTATGGAAAATCGTGAAATATACGGTAAGTTTGCTTTGAATATTTAATGTTTACGAATGTTGTTTCTTTAACTTTTTGCCTAAAAACATGAACTGTTATCCTTTTCAACGAAGCTCTAAGTTTCATAAAATTACCGTTTATTTTGAGAAAAAATCTTAAAATATAAAGGCGAACAAATCGATTTGAAGATTGAACTGAAATTACCTAACAATTTGTTTTATTTGTATTAAACCTATTATGTTTTATTAAGAAAAAATAGTTTATCGGCAAAATGTAGTTTAGTTGAATGAACATTTCAAAACATTTTACGAAGCGTTTCAATGTCACAAAATGCAAAATAATATACCTATATGTACAGCATATATTTCGGAAATTTCTTGTTGTATATTTAAAACTACGAATTTTTCAAATATTTGGCAGTTTTGTACAAAAAATATGAAAAAATTTAAGAATATCGTGTTGTCATGGCAACACTTGAGCGCGAGCCTGCGTTCAGTGTTGGTCATTTCTGAATACTTCATATTAATTTAATGTTTGGAAAATATTGGCGAGGGGTTACTGCATGCATGTATTTCTAGCATATAAATTAATACAAAGCTCAGTCGAATTGTAATCAAGACCCAACGTTTTGACACTCCAGTCTAGCGTCTTTATCAGGGGTGATCTAAATTTGCAATGTGGCTTCTTACTGGGGTCACCAGTATCGGCAATAATTGCTAATTTAGTAATGGAAGATGTCGAACAAAGATCTTTAGCCTCAGTTCCGGTATCTCTTTCGTTTTGGAAACTTTTTGTAGACGACGTGATCTCTGCGGTTTCTGGAAATGAAATCGATATTTTTCTGCAACATTTAAATTCTATTGAGCCATGCATTCAATTCACGACAGAACGTGAGATGAATAGACATTTAGCATTTTTTGAATTTGGGTGTTACAGAACTGTCGAAGGGAAGTTAGAGACTGATGTTTGTCACATTTGACTTTAGGCCATATTTTCGCAAAGCCGAAAGAACCTGTTAAAACAAATCAGAAAACTCATGGTGTATTTTCTCTACCATACGCTGACTGCGAGAAAGAGTATTTGGGTCAGTTCAAACGCCAGTTTGGTAAATGGCCAAAAGAAGATCTCAAAGCTGTTGCAACTTTATTAAACAAGGATATGACACCAAATACAAGATTGCAGCGTGGGAAAATTCTAAAGTAAAGACGAAGTCAAAGACGAATCCTAGAACCATGACATATAAATATGAGCAATCATGCTTTGAATAGTGATGATGGTGCCTATTTGCCAGAGGAATACATGCCTCTCGTTGGCAGATGATGTTATCTCTTGGTTTTTAAGAAGCCATATTGCAACTTTAGATTACCCTAGTGAAGACACTGTACATTTGCTGTAATTGCACCTTGTTTTTATATAAACTTTATTCAGATGCTTGCCCAAAAGCTAAGCTTGTCTAGGGGCCTCACTTATCTAGAGGGCTCAATTGCATCTTTCTTATTTCTTCTTTGTTATGCTAGATCACTAACATTGAGATAGAAATCTAAAATAAATGGGTTTGAAGGATTATTCCTATCAGGAATATGATTATGTGTGCAGTTGATAGTATGACATTTGAACATGACATATATGAGCAGTTGCACGCCTTACGTAGTTGCACACTTGCACAGTTAAACGCGCAAAAATTGGTCACGCACATCCAATGTTCTTCACTTACCAACATGGAAAGAATATTTTTTTCCAGTTAGGACAACGTTTGTTGTTGAAATGACATTATTTATTAACATTGTCCTATCAATTTTTATGAATGAGCAATAGTTATTACCATGTTGTTGGAACAGCTGTCGACAACTGTCTATGAAACAAGCTTGTTGATGCATGGTTGTTAGAACAGTGTTGTCTCGCATGTACTGTTGTATCCTGCGTGTTATTGAGTAAACAACTTTTATATTTTTTTTAAAGCAATCATCAACAATATTATTAACGCCAATCGTGGATTTGAATTCGAATTTTATTCGTTGTTTCTAAGTTGTATGACGCAGAGCAGGTAAAAGGTCATAGATGAGGCACGAAAAATTCTCTTTATAAAACAGAATATTGTAGTTCAAACTGTAAAGTTTGGTAGCCTATATACCTTGCAGCATGCTAAGTATTCGGCCACTTATCGTTTCCATCGATCCCTTGGACTCCATTTTATATCATTATAAATTTAACTTCAACGCTCATGCCTACATAAAGTAGTTCCGCTGTTGGACATTATGAGTCAGATATGTTTAACTGTGCCTCTGCAAATGTGCAAGAGTAATTTTCCCATATTGGTATGTTCAAAAGACATAATAACAACTGGACAGATTTCATGATATTGGAATGATAATGCGTCATAAAGTGATAAAGAATGAACTGACTTGGATGACCAAAACCTATTTTTGTGATATGAAACAATTCGCCGATCCTCAAATATTTTTTCAATGTTAAACTGAAACGTTGTAAACATTAAGCTTTCAAATTGATTTTGAATAATTCATAATTGTAATCTGCACAGTGGGTAAGTCGCAGTGTGTAAACGTTCAGTACTTTTATAGTCACGATTCAAACCTTAGCTAGTATAAGTTGTTATAACTAATGTGTTTTAACCTGTTCTTTATCTTTATTTATATTTAACGTCTTTTTAGGGGTTAGGTGTCAATTGGGACGAGAGTCCTGTTCCTTTCCCATGTCACGATTTGTATCTGTCTTTATTTGTCTTTAATTAGTTTGTATCATGTATAAAGTGACAAATTCATTATATTATATATTATATTATTACCGTGATAACAATCTTCAGTTTGTGTCCATTTATCTTTGACATCAGCATCACCTGAGCTAACATCAGAAACTTCTGTTTCTTTTCGCGATCCAACGTGCATTTGTAAAGAATTCATGTCACGAACTCGTCGTTCAGGTTCAGGCGGTATCGTATAATACCCATACACCTACAAAAATATAAAGTAGTTATTTCTTCTTTCTTTCTTCCTTTCTTTCTTTCCTTCTTTCCTTCTTTCCTTCTTTCCTTCTTTCCTTCTTTCTTTCTTCCTTCCTTCCTTCCTTCCTTCCTTCCTTCCTTCCTTCCTTCCTTCCTTTCTTTCTTTCTTTCTTTCTTTCTTTCTTTCTTTCTTTCTTTCTTTCTTTCTTTCTTTCTTTCTTTCTTTCTTTCTTTCTTTCTTTCTTTCTTTCATTCAAATTAAATTCCTTTCTTCCCATATTTCTTCTCCATTTTCCGTTTAATAGGTTTGCTTATTCTTCAACCTTGCGTTCTCTACTCTGCAGCAAATGTGCATAAGTTCTCAAAATATACAAATCTATCATCATCAATCAGAGAGAACATATAACATCTTACCTTCGGCGCAAACATCATGGTCAGGGTAACAGTTGTTGACAGCAGCACGATAATAGACACCAAGGCGTGAAGTAATTCATAATGTACCGTCTTCTTCAAAACCGTGGACACTGTTGCACCAATGGCTGACAATATGACGACATTATAGACTGATATTCCGATGTACTTCGAGTCATTTAATGCAGCGATTTTCACATTTCGTGTTTCCCACGCAAGCACCACGCCAAATAGCAAAATAATTCCTTTGTATCCGTATAGAGCACCAAGAAGCTTTGTTCTGTGAGTGCAATCACAGATCTTTAATACTGGAATGGCGATCAGGTCCCTCGAATATTCTTTCTGTTGGGTAAAAAAATGCCCGCTGATTGTATTTAGTAAATCATGTTCAATGTCAATTTGTGTTTTACTCATTTTTTCACTACATATGATAATGTGATTTGATATCCGAATATTCCATATGACATGACAATGAACCAACTGTTTTTTGAAATTAAGAATGCTTTAGGTTAAAATAACCAAAAAATAGGTTATTTGAGTTGGTCTAGGACAACCGGTTTAAACTAGGTTATTTAAATAGGTAGAAATAACTAAAACTAAATAGGTTAAAACAAACCATTTCTAGTGGGTTATTTTAACCTATAATATAGTTAATTGTGCCTATTTAAAATATGTTATTATAACATTTATTTTTAGACAGATAAATCAGACAGACAGATAGACAGTTAAATCTACTCAGAGATATAGGTTGTTTTTGCCAAATAAATAAAGGTTGTTTTTACTTATAAATATTTGGTCATTTTAACCAATAATATTTGGTCAATTTAACCTATAAGATTTGGTTGATACAAATATAACCTATTCTTTATGGTTGAAACAACCCATAAGTAATGGTAAAGGCCATGAGTCTAAACCAGCCCTTTAAAATAGGTTACATGCGGTTGATCTGACATAAAAAAATAAGGTTAAAATCAAATAGGTTAAAATCAAATACTAGGTTAAAATCAAATAGATTAAAATCAATATTTGAGTCAAAATCAAATTAACAATTAGTAAATATTAAACAATTTCAGTACTTTGATAAAAATCATGTATTTTTCTTAAGGAATGCATAAGCCTTATATATAATATATAATAAAGTATTCTACGAGATAGTTGAGTTCCAGTGTGCAACAATTGCAACAATCTCCTGGAGACAATATATCCTGCATGTACAATACATGCATTAAATTAGTGATACAATATCATTATTATCACAAAGTAAATTGCCATTAACGTACAGTAAACTCTTCTATTCAGTGTGTTCATTTATTTTAGCTTAGGAAGTTCTCCACGTCAATTGATAAAGTATGGCAATTATTGCCCAGAAGAACATGTTCTAAATTACTAAAACATGTAAATGTTTTTACTATGATCTGTAGGCCCCTTCCGGGTGCTGCATGTTAAAACTTACAGTAGTACCCTGCAAGCAAACATGCCACTGCGTTGGTAATATTGCACGGAGGGTATCTGAATTTTTTACAGCCACTCACTCTGCAATCAATGAAATAGAACTTGTCTCTTCCAGAGGTCCGCTGGCCAATAGACAAGGGGTTAAGCATCCTGATATTTTGGGAGCATGGAAGGAAAATCGTTAATAAAACTTTTCTTATTGCGCAATACACGCTTCAATTTATCCCTTGGCCTTGGACAAAGACAACGTTTCAAACTTGAGTGTCTCAGATGTGGCAAAAATTAATTAAAAACGCTTTCTTAATTAAATCAATATAGCCTTGTTTTAACTTTTAATATATGGGTGTGAGTTGCCTAGACATAAGGGAAAGGACAACTGGAATTTAATAGGAATCCAATAGGTTTCCAAGTGACGGTTTATGTGGTGCAACAGAATATAAAGACCTGTCTTAATAACATTTGGCTTGGATTTGTTAACCAATGGAGGCATTCCATTCCATTTTGCTTGCCAAGTTCACAGGCAAAATATTTGCATGGATAAAATCCATTTTGCAAGGCAAATTTCCCTGTAACCATCAGTCACTGAGGAAACGTCCCAGTGATAGCTAGTGTTTTGCTATTGTTATATTACACAGCAACCCCCTGGTAATAGCCTTCCAATGGTGGCTATATATTAACTGTAAGCTGTGACAAGTTTACAACAATGAATACATTTGGTAAGCTTTAGATTATCATTGTCTGCACTCTCCAACTGAAGAGCAAAATTGTCTGATGTTAGACAGAGTAAAAGCAAGCACGCCCCTGCCAGGGATGAGACAAATAGGGCTTGTTGTGGGTATAGGGGCATTATTGGGTCTTACATGATATACATGCCAATCAAGAGTTACTATATTTTAAAGCCATATCCAGGTGATCTCGTGTTGGTATTTTAGCCAATCAGCGCTCAGAAAGGGTTGTCCGAATAGAAATCCATTTTGATGTATTCAGTCAATTATATCTTTCGTTATTCTTTATGAAACTAGTTGAAATTTTGTAATTATGTTTGGTTATAAGAACTATAGCTCTGACAAAAATATGGAATCGAAATAAAGTATATTACAGGAGATATTCAGTTGTTTTAATCATAAAATGGATTTCTATTTGACAACTAGTTCCAGTACGTTTCCGCGTATCAAGATCATCTGGTATGTCAAGAGCAATTTTATTTGAGCATGAGCAAGGAAGATACATATAATCAGAGAATATGCCAGTGCCATAGCAACCTCAATTATCGAAATATATTGGGGG